AGAAACAACAAATATAATTAAACTTTAATAAAAATAAAATGCTATTACCAGAGCTCTTTCCTTTAGAGTTAAAGATGATGACTGTTGGCTTGACTGTTGAGTTGACTTCTTTGTTGACAATGAACTTGTGTTTTCAGCTGTTGATCCAACATTCTTCTTGGGCCTCCCCCTTGGATTCTAACAAAAAAATAGATATTAAAACATGATTTTATTTGTTGTTCAAATTGATGTTTATCATAATAAGACTTGAAATATTAATTATAACCTTTGGTTGTTTCTCCACTGGAGGATTAGAGCATGACTGTTGGGCTGATCCAACATTCTTCTTGGGCCTTCCCCTTGGATTCTAACAAAAAAATAGAAATTAAAACATGATATGATTTGTATTTCAAATAGATGTTTATCATAATAAGACTTGAAATAGAATTTATAACCTTTGGTTGTTTCTCCACTGGAGGATTAGAGCATGATTTCTTATTGTGCCCTTTTTGAAAACATCTTTGGCAAGTCATAGTCAACCCAAATCTCCTCAACTTAGTCCCACAATTCATTTCCTCCTCAGGTGCTCTCTTTCTTTTCTTTTTTGGCCTTCCTGGCATCTTTTTAAAAGGAGGAGGAAGAATAGGAAAGCCCTGTGCAACTGGCCACAATTTCTTCCCATTTATGGGTTCTAATGACAAGTTGTACAATTGCAGATACCTTTCAACTGAGTAGTACTCAGACACAAACTCTACAGGATCCTGATGTTGGAAATTTATTGCTGAACATGCATGTACACATGGTATGCCTGTAATGTCCCAACTTCTGCAAGTACATGTCTTGTTCTTCAAGTTCACAACAAACTGATCATCCTCATGCACAACCTCAAATCTTTCACCAACAGCTGGCTTTGTGAGACAGAGCCTAGACATGTATTTGTTGTGCTCTAACTTCTTTCTTATTCTAGGACAAATCCTATCTGTATACCCACTATGTCCTAACAACTTGTCATGTTGTCTTTTCATTAACTCACTTCTAACAAACTCAAGCATATCAATAATGTGTTTGCTTCTACCCTTAACAATCATTCCATTGAATGTCTCACTCACATTGTTCTCAATCATATCACATCTAGACAATGGAGAAATGTAAGCCTTACAGAATTTGGTAGGATCTCTGTCCATGAAATCTTCATAAGCAGCTGGATCTTCTGACTTCAAATCTTCCAAAAATATGTTGTAGTCCCCCAAGTGAGTGCTGAGCACAATCTTCCAAAAAATGCTTTTCAGTGTGAGCCCTTTGAAACTCTTCTTCCAATTCATATATACATGTCTTGCACAGTTTCTGTGCTCAGCATGTGGAGCCAAATCTCTTAATGCATTAAGAAGACCCTGCAAAAGGATAAAATTTGAATAAGTGGAAAAATTCATTTATGTTCACAAAATTTATATATGTTAGAGAGAGAACTTACTTTTTGTTGGTCTGACATGAAAGTATATCCAAGACCATCAGTAATTCCCAAATCAGTAAACAAAATACCTAGAAACCACCTCCAACATTCCTCATTTTCTGTCTCAACAACTGCCCAAGCCACAGGGTATATTTGATTGTTGCCATCTTTTGCTGTGGCACACAATAAAGCCCCACCAATAAAAGTCTTCAAGAAACACCCATCAAATCCTAAAATGGGCCTACAACCACTAATGAAACCCTTTCTCAGTGCACTAAATCCCACATAGAACCCTCTGAATGTAGTTTCTTCACCAAGAAGAAACTCAAACCTTCCATCTCTGTCTACCCTCAACAACTCTGCCATGTAACTTCTCAGAGAAGCATAATGGCCAATTACTGAACCTCTAAGCATCTCAAGAGCTCTCCACTTTCCTCTATAAAGCTTCCACTTTGTAGGTTGTACTGCAAACTTTTCAGATATTATTTCTTCCATTTGGGTAATGGACATGTTTGGATTCTTTCTGAATTTCTCAACAAACTCCTCAGCAATCCACTCTGATGTAACCTGCCTGGTGTGGACATTTCTATGGCATTTGTGCTCCTTGTTCAACTGTTTAATTGCTACACTACCCTCTTTCATAACTGCACTTGCATATAAGGTCCAAGGGCAACCATCAACACATTTCACTCTCAACAGTTTTTTGCTAGTTTTCAGAAACTTTATGTCTCTCCCTTGAATAATAGCTACATTCCTTAATGCTTTTTTCAACTCCTCTATGCTTATGAATCTCATCCCTAACATAAACTCAAGAGTACTATGATCACATTTTGGATCATAAGTAACCATTTTCCTTCTACCTATACAGTTCCCATCATCATCCATTTCCCACTCACTACCTGAATTTTCAGAAACCAATCCACAATCTACAAACCCAGAATCTTCACTGTCCATCTCAATGGCCTTCTTTGACTTCATGTTGTCTGCACATTCTCCAACATCCTCTAATATCCCCTTTTTGTGCTTCTTCAAATTCTGTCTTGCCTCAAAATATTCAGCATCATCATCAGAAGCAAAATCATCAAGAGACAGTTCATCATCAGATGAGCTATCATCAACAGGGAAATAGTCTTCATCCTCACTATCATCCCCAGACCCACTTCCAACCTCACAGTCACCCACATTGGAAGTAGGCAACTGTGGAGTCTTTAGGTTATTCCTCACTTCTGTATCAACATCACCATCTTTCTGTGACTCAGCTAATAAATCCACATCATTAGGATTCTTAGGATCAGAATGATTCTTAGGATCAGAGAAATTGTCTATATATGAATCAATGTCAAATTGTTCCTCTGACCTTGGTGCACTTTCAACACTAGCTTCATTTTCACTGTTATCTTCTTCTATAATTTCCCCTACTACATAAACCTCTAATAATGTTCTTCCCTTAGTAGCGTGGTTAATCATCTCCATAACTACACTATCATCAACAACATCTTTAAACATATCTGCTCCATTGTTCCTTGGTATTCTGTATACAAGTTTTTCAAACTTTTCAACCCCCAGCTTCTCAACTACTTCTTTTAAGTCAAAATACCCAAACCTATCCACATCTAAACCATGAACTGTTTTAAATTTACCACCTAAGTACTCAACAGAAGTTCCACATTTAACGAACTGGCCTCCATAGTTTACAAAAATTGAAAATTTTCCACTGCAATGCAAACATATGAATAAATAAGATAATAGCAACAAGTGAATTGCATAAGACTCTAAATTTCCCAAAAAAAACCCTAATTGTTCAAAAAAACCCTAATTTCTCCCAAAAAACCTAATTATTTAGATAAGCCCAAATTGTTCAGAAAATCCCAATTTTCTCCCAAAAAACCTAATTATTTAAAAAAACCCTAGTTTTCCCAAAAAACGTAATTTCTTAGAAAAGCCCCAAAAAGAAGCCTAATTTCACAAAAAAAAACCTAAATTCCAAGAATAAATGAAATTTCTAATCGAATCCTAAATATAAGACCAGACTCGAGAAACATCGAAATAAAAATTGCAGAAGAAAGAAAGAAAGAATAGCGCACCTGTCTTTCATCTTCCCGACATATAACGAATCTCGAACGCACGACGACAAGAAATCTGGAACGCAGAAACACAAACTCGCATGCAATTGGGACAACCTTGTAGCGGATTCTTGATACAGAGACAAGATTTCAGATTTAGGGTTTGATTTTTTTTGTCGAGATTGATTTTGGGGAATTTGAGTTGGGGATTTGATTTGGGGATCGGGTTTTTAATTTGAAGATGGGTTAATTTGATTTGGGGATCGGATCGGGTTTTAGTTTGATTTGGGTAACAAAATTCCACGTGTTTATTTAATCTGACTGAGCAACTGAAAATTACACGTAGATAAAACACAGCCGGACACGCTGGCATGTTTTCACCGTCCGACGGGTTTTAAGTCAATTTTGCAAAAGTAAGACAACGTAGAGATTATATTGCTATTATTCAAAAGTTTGTATTAAATTGCCAAAAGTGAAAAGGTCGAGGTTTATTTGGCAATTAACCCTTAAATTTAATATGTGTATATGTATATATATATATATATATATATATATATGCGTATGTTCTGTATAGTTTTTTAGAGATAATATTCAATACGTGTATTTGTTTTAGGAAATGAATAACAAATTTAATATCAGTTTTGAATAATGATAAGGTGTATGAAATATCTTCGTTTTGTAGAGATAATAATTCAACACGTGTATTTGTTTTAGGAAATGAATAACAAACTTAATATCAGTTTTGAATAATGATAAGGTGTATGAAATATCTTCTCCTTATAATAAGATTAAATATGTTTAAAAGGGTTACCATAAAAAATATGTGATAAGGATGTTAGTGTGAAATGGGATTATTTCGTTACTGTGTTTTATAGAGATAATAATTCAACACATGTATTTGTTTTAGGAAATGAATAACAAACTTAATATCAGTTTTGAATAATGATAAGGTGTATGAAATATCTTCTCCTTATAATAAGATTAAATATGTTTAAAAGGGTTATCATAAAAAATATGTGATAAGGATGTTAGTGTGAAATGAGATTATTTTGTTACTATAAAATAAGTATGCTATTAATGAGGCGTGTGAATTGGGGTTATTTCATGAGAATTAAATCGGTATAATTAATGAGTTTAAAAGACATGTGAAAAGGACATAAATGCTGAATCGTGTGAAATGGATTGATGTTGACCATTAATTAAGTTATTAATTTTGATAAATGTTAATTCTTATTATATAATATAAGTATAGATTTATGGATCAGGCCAATTGAAATATTTCCGATTACAAAACCTTGACACAGATAACACCACTCATTGGTCATTTTTAGTAAGTCGTTCCCAAGGAGACCCATCCACCGGCCCACGGAATTACACTTTTTCTGTTTTTAACCTTATCTACGTCCTTTAACACCTGCGGGTATCCACTAAGATACGCTGCCGGCGCAGCACTAGCCTTGTCCGCACCGAAACAAAAATACGTGTTTTGTAGCCAACCTCCGTTAACTAGACCGTTACTCAGGCGCACAGTAGCAAACCCCATCTGGCACACACTATTATAAAATTCAATTTATATATTTTCCCACCGAATTCCCTCTCCAAATCGGCGCTTAAAATACTCACCTAAAACCCCATCAGTCTCTTTTCTCACTCCTCGCCACCAATAGGATTTCTATAATGACCCATCTGCCTTTTTTTTGGTGATTTCAAGCAACTTGCACGCATTATATATTCAGATAAATTGTGTATCTATCTATCTATCTATCTACTTATAACTCCAAAAACTTGTATTGATCTGACCGACTAATTTTTTTTTTGAGGGTTTTTTTTCGATTTACTCCTTTTTCGTTTCACTTCTGAATCTGGAGCTCCGGCTGTGTAAATTTCATGTCTCCATTTTCCGGCGGCTGATCAGTTATTTTTTTGTTTTGTGTTTGTTTTCGCCGGTGAGAATCTGCCGTCGTCTTAGCGTCTCCAGGCGAGCTGAATCTGCGACTCGTCAAGGTTTGACGTTGATGTGCAGAGAATAATCAGACTGAGAGTTGAAAAACAAAAAGAAGAGAGAAGAGAGAGAAGAGAGAGAAAATCAGAAAGCTTCATGTGTGAATTTCTTTCACGTGACTAGAGATGCCGCATCGAACGACTTACTTCTTCCCGAGGCAATTTCCTGACCGCAGCCCCAATCAATCGTCAAGGTTGGTGGCGGATCACGAGAACAAATTTTCCGCCAGTGATGTGAAGTCGGAGGATTTTCAACGCGAGGGGGTCGCTCTCAAATCGGATGCCGGCGAAAGTATCTCCGCCCGTGGAGTCACGGGGGACAAAATACCCGTGAAACAGCTGTCCGCCTATGTAAAGTGGCTTTCCGATAAGAAAAAAAAGGAGAAATCACGGGAGGGAAATCTGGGTCCCGTGAGGGCGGCCAGATTGTACGAAATCGACGATACCATCGAGGAAGAGGAAGAAGTAAATCAGCCGCTGCTGAAACTGCCGCCGCCCTCTGATGGCCGCCGGATTTCGAGCAGCGGGAGCAATTTCATTGGCGGTGTTGAGGGGCAGATTTCTCTGCAGAGATTGTCAAGCGCCGGGAGCACGAGCTATGCCGGAAGTTTGTTTTCGGGGACAACTTTGGACGGAACTTGGTCGCCTGTCACTACTGGAGTGCTCAAGGAAGACTCTACAGCGCAAGGCAGTGGGGCCGGGCAGAGTGAAGGTAGTGGGGAAGCCCAGAGGCAAAAGGAGGGCTATCACTTGCAGATTATGCTCACGAGAAGGCTTACTGAGCAGGCCTCGCTCACTGCGGAGCCTTTACCTCTTCCTGAATGTAGATTTGCTGGATCTTCAGATCCTGAAACGGTTTCCTATCGTCTGTGGGTATGGCTTGGCTAATACTATTTGTTATCGGGGGCTAAGTTGCAATTTTTGTATTGAAATTGAGTAAAATTGTTCCCCCTCGCAAAGTAATGTCTGTCTTTCAGAAACCTGTGTTCAAGTCATGTTTGCATTTGATGTGACCACAACAAAAAATTAAAAGAAAAAATAAAAAAAAAAATGATGTTTTTGCCAAAAATTATAGTTCTCGAACTCGATGATGGTTGGTGCTTTTGGAGCATCTGCTACTATAATATCTTGAAAGATATTGAAAAAACAGCATATGAGAACTCTAACTATTTTGCGGGTATATGAAAACGTCCATATTTCTTGCCTTGCTGGGCGAATTTGAATTTTATGTTAATAGAGCAAATAAATCCCTGGTACTATTTCTGTATAATAGTTAGATCTGAGGTCACAGATGAACTTAATAAGCTTATAGGATTATTCTCATTTCTTGTTATAGGTCAGTGGTTGCCTGTCTTACTCTGACAAGATCTCCGATGGGTTTTATAACATTTTGGGAATGAACCCTTATCTATGGCTAATGTGCAACGACTTGGAAGAAGGTAAAAAAATGCCTTCATTGATGGCATTAAAAACAATTGACCCGGAGGACACAACGCTAGAGGTGACTCTCGTTGATCGACGTGGAGACTCGCAGCTCAGAGAGCTTGAAGATAAAGCTCAAGAGATTTATTTTGCAGCAGAGAGTACGCCTGCCATGGCTGAGAGACTTGGGAAACTTGTCGCGGAGCATATGGGGTAACTAATGGATATACTGGTTTGATAGTTCACATGCTGTATTTCTTATCCTGATAGAGTTGAGTTTTTAAAATTGTAGGGGCTCTTTCCCTATGGAACGAGGTGACTTCAGACTTGGCTGGAAATTGATGAACCAGAGATTGAAAGATTTCAACAAGTGCATTGTGATCCCAATCGGTAGTCTGTCTATGGGGCTCTGTAGGCATCGAGCCATACTGTTCAAGGTGAATGTTTATCCTGTTTGAATTGAAAATTCTTTTTGTTATTTCAAATTTTCAATGTGTCATTTTTTTATCCCCCTTCTGCTTTTCTTGTTCATTTTGTCTTTCTTCTGTTATTTCTTTTTCTTTTTCCTTCTATGTTGACTGTGTATGCAGATAGAGAACATTTACCGTGTGCCTACATCTGCTCTACCAAAAAATTATTAGAATTAACTTTTGCTACATCTCCGGCATGAGGAAGCTTTAATTTTTCCGACATTCTCTAATTCACTTATGTGGGTAGTTCGCATTATATTACTGACGTTTGATTAATCTTTTGCTTCCTGTATGCTAACTAAATGCCAGCCTTTCAATTTATTTTGCGACATAGGCTGAGACTAGTGGAGAAGGCAATGGAGGGTCATATGATCCTAGCACTATGTACATATATCTTTTTTGCTTGAAAATAAACGTCTTAAGATGGTCAAGTGCATTATTTAACATTCTTTATGTAAACATTATCATATGAAAGTACCAGTATTCTCGATGGATTATAACAAAAGTTGCATTGCTTGCTTCTTGTTCAGAAACTAGCAGACTATGTAGGTTTGCCATGTCGGATAGCTCGTGGTTGCAAGTATTGCATTTCTGACCACCGATCTTCGTGCCTTATCAAGATAGATGATGAAAGGAAGCTTCCCAGGTATTGATACGTTCTTCCTTCATGTTATATTCTTATGTGCTGCTCTGAAGTTAAAGGAACAATGCTACTCAAGTTTCGTCTGACATGATTGTTGGTTTTGTGTCCATCACTTTGCCAAATTTGTTTTCGGTCATTTTACCCCTTATAATGAAATTACATTCTTCCTATTTCTTTAATGAATTTGGAAACCTTGAGGGTTTCTTTTTAATTTCAAACATCTTTTATGTTTGACATGTAGAGTTTCTGTCCATGCTTCCACAACCATATGTGTCAAAACTTTTATAAAACTATATATGCATGCCATTTGATTGTACTGTGGTTCCAATTTATACAAAGGATAATTTTCTAGAAAATAATGATATAAAATGCACTATTTGGATCAAGGTTGGAGTTGGAGAAATGCAAAGTGAATTTGATTGTACCATAACAATATTGGTCAATATGTTTGTCATCTAGTCAGTATCAGCTGACGGAGTCATGTGTGGGCTCTAGAAAACCCATCTAGTCGAGATCCTATTGATGGATCATTTGTGCATTGATGAGTAAATGTAGTTTGAACTTGGGAAGTACATTAACCAAGTCAAGCCTAAGCATAATCTGAAGTTTGAGAAAGATACAATTCAATTTTTCGATGCTACTCATGTTGTTCAATTTTTAACACTGAATCAGGGTAAGCTCTTTAACTTATTCACATAGTATCTTGGCTGTTGGCGTCTTTATCCATTCAATTGCATCTTAGCAGGGAACTTGTGGTTGATCTAGTTGGGAAGCCAGGAAATCTCCATGGCCCAGACTCATCAATCAATGGAAGTATAATTTCTGTGCCTTCACCATTACAAATATCACATCTAAAAGAATTTCAGCAGGATGGGCAGAGTGAGGTTGATTGTCAATTGCTAAACTCAAAGTATGCTAGTGACAAAAACAATCCTTTCTATGCAGGTGAGTTTTATAGATGCCTATGTAGCAATTCTTTGGTATTAAAGCGAAACACAATCTGAGTTATTAGTTTGGTCGGGTATAGTTCTGTAGTGTTTCTATTT